ATCTCACCAATTGAAATGGACCCAGTTATCTCTATGCAGATGATTCCCATGTGTATAACTCTAGCCTTCATCTTTTTCCCAGACTCTAGTCCCACAGCCTGCTAGACATCTCCACTGGCTATGTCTCCTAAGGTATCTCAAACTCAACCTTTCCAAAACAGTACTCATTATATTTCCCTTCAAAATTCATCCCTACTCCAAAATTTGCCATTTCTGCTCATGGTACCACTATCCTTCAATTGCTGAGGTTCACAAACTTGGAGTCATCCTCAATTCTTCATTCTTCCTCAACCCCCAACAGGTGCCAAATCTGGTCAATCCTACATTCACAACAATCCTCCACTCCTGCAGCCTCTTAGTTCAGATGACCCTATCACTTCCAACCTAGTTCAAGCCTCTATCATCCTTCTCTTGAACCATTGAAGTAGTTTCCTATTGCCTTCTCTGCCTCCACTGTCTTCTATCTCCAATTCATCCTGTTTTTGTTGTTGTCCAGTCATTTCAGTGATAACTTCATGACTTCATGACCCCATTTGGGGTATTATTGGCAGAGATACTGGAGTGGTTTGTCATTTCCTTCATTTGACAGATGAGGAAATTGAGGCAAACAGGGTTAAGTCACACAGCTTGTGAAGTGTCTGAGGCCAGATTTGAACTCATGAAGATGAGTCTTCCTGACTTCAGGCTTGGTGCTCTATACCCTGTGTCATCTAGCTGCCCTAACTCACCCTATACATGACTGCCAAATCTGCCTTCCACATAACCACCTTTACTGGCATATTTCATGTCATATCATCTACATACTCTCCATCACAATAAAACTAACTACTAGCTGTATCCCATACCAACTTTCCACCTTCAAGCCCCATATCTTGATGTTCCAAGTCTGGAATGCTCTCCTTCCTTGCCATCCCCTCTTAGATCCCTTGGCTTTCTCCAAAGAACCATTCCTGAGCCCTCTCCTATAGCAGACCTTTCCTGATCTTCTGGTTATTGGCACACTCTCCCTTCTGAAGCTCCTTTGTATTTACTAACTTGGATATATGTTATATCAATATCCCTCATCCCAGCCCTAGAATAGTCTAAGCTCCATGAAGGCAGGGACTAATTAATTTCTGTCTTTCTATCCTCGGTGGCTAGAATAGTGCCTGGCCCAGAGTAGGCACTGAATAAAAATTTGTTGGTTTGAATTGGTTTGAAATATGACTGAAGACATAAAATTATTAAAACACCAGCCAGTAGGATGAGGTCTAAACACCAGAGTCAGGTTTTCAATTCAATCCAATGAGCATTCACCAAGTACCCACAGAATGTATGCAGGGGGAGCAACTAGGTGGTGCAGTAGATAGCACCAGCCTTGGAGTCAAGAGGACCTGAGTTCAAATCCAGCCTCAGACACTTGACACTTACTAGCTGTGTGACCCTGGGCAAGTCACTTAAATTGCTTAGCCAAAAAAAATATATGCAGGGACCTCCTATAGGTATTGAATGAGACAGAGAGGCTTAGATAAGGTCCTTACCCTGCCCAGTCTAGTGGGGGGGACATGACACACTGAATGGGGGACATAGACAACTGAAATACAAAAAAAAAGTGTGTAATTGCATAAAAGAGTGTGTAATTGCTAACGTTATTACTTAAAGCCCTCTACCACTCTCTGGCTCCATTTTGTAATAATAAAAACTCACATGTTGATAGCATTGTAAGATTTATAAAATTATTCCCAATCCTTGGGTGGGGGAGCTAGACCAAATATTATCTATCTCTATTTGTACTATGATATTATTGTATACTATGTTATGTAATATTATAGTATATAACATATATTATAAATATCCCCATTTATGCTACTATACTATTATCCTATCCCTGTTTTACAGATTAGGAAACTGAGGCCTAGAGAAGTAGAATGACTTGCCTAGGGTCATAAGGTAGTAAGTGTCAGAACCGTGTTCTTATGCAGACACTGCCTCCAGTCCTCTTTTCGCTCCATCATGTCATCACCCTGCTCTGACCTTCTTTTTCTATATTCAGATCCCCTCTCTTCAGTCACCATGTGTTGGCCCCCAGCTGCCCCGAACCCTAGAGTATGGTATTCCAATTGGGTCAGCCCAAGTGCCAAGTGCTCAGTGCTCAAATATTATGCTCCATATCCTGATTACCCACAAAAATGTCTATTTCCTTAGGGCCCTCCCCTCAGGTGGAGCAGAGCAATAAACCCCATCATAGCTGAAGGTAAATAGCCAATGACAAATTTATTTACTGAGTGGCATTTGCTGCTGAAATAGGCATCTTTTGGAGATAAATGCCCAAAGGAATGATTCTCTAATGGTTGGATTTTGGTCAGCATGGTGGAATTGTGATCCTGTGAATCCCCAAAAGAGAGTCCAAAGCCTAGGACCTTCCTTACCCTACACACCACACAAATGGCACCTGCTCTGCCAGTGGGTAAGGCTGGTCCAAGTAATGCCAGATCCAGGTTCAGGAAATGGGTGACAGCTTTGTCATGAAGCAGCTGGTAGATTACCATCGGCATGCTTTAAAGGAAGGTGCACTAGATTTAGAATCAGGAGACTTCGGAGTTGGAATCCCACCTCTGAAACTCTGTGGAACCCTGGGCACATTATTTCATTTCTTAGAACTTCAGTTTCTTCCTGTGTGAATGGGAATAAGAGTGACAATTGGTGCATCATTGAGGTATTGAGGGGTAAGCGTTTTGTGAGCCTCAAATCGGTCATTATTTTACTTTGTTTCTTGCTAGTTCCCTTCGGTTCCATCCAGAACCTGAAGGTTTGCTATGGTGTGCATCTCTGGATGGCTAAGTACAGCGACTGTATACGCAAAATATAGAGAGACTCACAGGGCCCTGGTGGACAATCACGCCTAATCAATTCACTGGAAAACATCAACAAATTGGTTCTTTGGCAGTGAGGGATAGAGGCCTAAGCTCATTCCCATTTCTCCTTGTTTTATAGGAGGACCACAAGTTGATCTGGGAGGTCTGCCCGAGGCTTGAGGGGGGCTTGGCTCTGTTCAGCTTGTACAGCTTCCCCAGAGCACAGAGTGGGTAGGCTGCTGACCACAAATGAACGGCCTTTCACAGCCCTTTCAAGTAGTAATTGTCTGCTTGTATTACACGGGCTCTGGTGTTCCAGCCAAAGATCAGACACACACACATAGACACAGACACAGAGAGAGGCACAGAGAGACAGAGAGGGACAGAAACAGAGACACAGAGATGGACAGAGATACAGAGAAAGAGACACAAAGGGAAACAGAGTAGACACCCAGAGAGACAGAGAGGGATACCGACAGAAACATAGAGATGGAGACACACAGATACAAAGAAACAGAGTAGGTACCCAGACAGATACAAAGAAACAGGGAGAGATAGAGACAGAGACACAGAGAGGGACAGAGATGTAGAGAAGGAGACACAAAAGGAAACAGAGTAGACACCCAGAGAGAGACAGAGAAGGAATCAGAGACACAGAGACAGAGACACAGAGAGGGCCAGAGATACAGAGAAAGAGACACAAAGGGAAACAGAGTAGACACCCAGAGAGACAGAGAGGGATACCGACAGAAACATAGAGATGGAGACACACAGATACAAAGAAACAGAGTAGGTACCCAGACAGATACAAAGAAACAGGGAGAGATAAAGACAGAGACACAGAGAGGGACAGAGATGTAGAGAAGGAGACACAAAAGGAAACAGAGTAGACACCCAGAGAGAGACAGAGAAGGAATCAGAGACACAGAGACAGAGACACAGAGAGGGCCAAAGATACAGAGAAAGAGACACAAAGGGAAACGAGTAGACACCGAGAGACAGAGAGAGGGATACCGACAGAAACAGAGAGATGGAGACACACAGATAGACAAGAAACAGAGTAGGTACCCAGACAGATACAAAGAAACAGGGAGAGATAGAGACAGAGACACAGAGAGGGCCAGAGATGTAGAGAAGAGAGACACAAAAGGAAACAGAGTAGACACCCAGAGAGAGACAGAGAAGGAATCAGAGACACAGAGACAGAGACACAGAGAGGGCCAGAGATGTAGAGAAGGAGACACAAAAGGAAACAGAGTAGACACCCAGAGAGACCCAGAAGAGAAGCAGCAGGAGAACCAATAGAACTTGGTTTTTTAGTGCCCTTGAATCATTCAATCCAGCTCCCACTTTTATAGAAAAAGAAACTGAGGCTCAGAAAGAAGCAGTGATTTCACCAAAGTCAGAAGCAGCGTGAGAAACTAGAACTCAGGTCTCCTAAGCCCCAGTTCTGTACTTTTCTCTCTTGCCCCACCTTGTCTTTTCTCATTGCTTCTATGTTTTGGCCCTGGACCCAATACTGATGCAGAGAATGTTCGTGTGTCCTTCCTCAGGCCCTATCTGTATAACTTTCAGCGAATCATTTGGTCTTCTTGGCCTCAGTTTCCTCATCTGTAAAATGAGGGGGACGAGACTGGATGATTCCTGAGGCTTTTTCCATTTAGGGGATATGAGTTGTTAAACTTTGCTATCTGGGGCATAAGTGTAATAGAAACAATGTATAATACAACTAGCAAGTTACTATTTCTCTCAAGCCTGCAGGATGGTGGAAGGGGTGTGGGGTGGGAAGCCTCAGTTTCCCCACATGTAAAATGAGAGGGTTGTCCCAGTACAGAGGTTCTTAAGCTTTTGCTGTGTCATGGCCCTGCTTTGGCAGTCTGCTCAGGGTCATGTTTTTAAATATATAAAATAAAAACATAGTATTACAAAAAAATCATTGGAATACAAGTATCAGAATAGTTTTAAAATAAACAAATAAAAACAAGCCCATGGACCTCAACTTAGGAACCGCTGAGCTAGATAATCTCTAAGGTTTCATTCTGTATTCTCCTTTAAAATCAGAACTTGTCCTCGTCTTGCTGGGACAGACACTTTGATAGCTCTGAGCTCCCTCTTCAGGACGGATGGCTAAATGACAGCCTTTGCCTTTTCTCCTTTGCTCCACAGCCCTCCTCCGTAAGCCCCACGAGTGGAACCAATATGGCCACAAAAAAGGTGGCCACCATCAGTGACGTGTGTGAGTCCATGAAGCAGCAGCTGTTGATTCTGGTTGAATGGGCCAAATACATCCCAGTGTTCTGGGAGCTCCCGCTAGATGACCAGGTAGTGACAATAATCAACGTGATTGTGACATGTTTTCATACACCTCACCTTCCCTGAGCTCCATTACAACATCCTCAGGATCATCAGTTGGGCAGAGATCAGAAAGGCAAAGTTCTGTAGCTTCTCTGAGCCTCATTTGTAAAATGGGGATTATAATAGTACTTACCTCTCAGGGTTGTTGCCAGGATTAAATGAGTAAAGTGCCTGGTATACAGTAGGTGCTTAATAAATGTTTGTCCCTTCCCTTGAAATCACAGACAGCCCTGTGCAGCACTCCAGGCCCAGGCTAAAGTTGAGCACTGAGTGGAGAGATAGTTACCTGTTAACGCTTAGATCCCAGTTTAACATTCCCCAAGTACCCTAATCCTATGCCCTGCACAAAAACAATAGCTTAAGAAAATGGGGCATCTAGGTGGCACAGTGGATAGAGTGTCAGGCCTGGAATCAGGAAGACTTCTCTTCTCAAGTTCAAATCTGGCCTCAGACACTTACTAGCTGTGTGACCCTGGGCAAGTCACTTAACCCTGTTTGCCTCAGTTTCCTCATCTGTCAAATGAGCTGGAGAAGAAAATGGCAAACCACTCCAATATCTTTGCCAAGAGAACCCCAAATGGGGTCCATGAAGAGTCAGACACGACTGAAATGACTAAACAACAACATAGAAAAAATAAGGACTCGATGGTGCTGGGCCTGTTCCTACTACAGCTAACAGAAAAAGGGAAAGGGATTTACAGTAAAAAGGTTCCATAAAAGAAGGGCATTACCCCCCCAAAAAAAAAAGCTAACACAGAGATTGAGAAAGTAGGAGAAATGGATAAACAGTTGCAAAAAGGAGCCATTAAGTTGATCAGATACTAAATAGTCTAGAAAAATCCCCGAAGGACAAAGTTCTGTCATAAATTTTTGCAGACCACCAGAAAGGACAGTGCAGTAACTGTAAGAAGCTCTAGAATGGTTGAGAAGACAAACAGAAGAATTAAAAGAGGAAATAAGGGTGAAATTAATACAGGAACTAGAAGTCTCAAGTTAATAAAAACAAGTAAGAAAGTTGAGAACTTAGAAGAGATGACAGAGAAAAATCACCTTAATAGTAGATTCTATTATAGATATTCAATATGAAATCTGCAGAGATAGAAGAAAAATTAACTGAAAAAAATGAAAAGGAAACAAAATTGGAAAAAGATATGATAGCTTCACAAGCTATGGAAATTGCATAAGCTGGGATGGGAAGAATAATATTAGAATTAAAGGTGTCCTGGACCAGAGGTGTCAAATTGCAGCCCTCAAAACTCAGGCCAGATTAAAATATAATTAGGGAATTAAAAAAATTAAAATATGATATAACATAATGTTAATTTTCTAAGTCAACCATGCAGTCACTAGGGATCTGTTTCTCTTTCAGTTTGACACCACTCTCCCAGACAAACACAATGATATTAAAACCATAGAAAAGAAAATAATTCAGGAAAATTTCCCGGAAGCAACGGTAAAATTATTAAAAACTAATGGAAAGAAGGCAAAATTCAAATTAGTATCCAGAGGGCATCACTCACAGAGAAAAATCCAAAGTTGAACTCTTCAAGAAATGTCACGGCCAATTTTGAGTCTTGGACCTAGTGACCAAAGATAACTCACAAGATAAGACAATAAAAAACAGTTCAAGAGAGCTAAGCAAGGAAACTACATTTTGTTTGAAGATACCATAGACAATGAAACTATAGTATTAAATACATATTCAACAAAATTATTAGATTTTTTTCAATGCTTTGATCAGTTTGGGTGTTTTTTTTTCTCTTCCTCTTTTTATTTAAAAAAATCTTTCTTATAAAAAAATGGCTATCTGATGGGATTGGAGAGATATGCAGGAGGAAATTTAGGTGATGTAAAAACAAAAGATATCAATAAAATTAATTTGAATATATGCAACAAATGTCATATCTTCTAAATTCTTAAAGTAAAAGCTAGTCAAATTGCAAAAAGGCCTTGATGGCAACATAATAATTGTAGGAGATTTTAACATTCCTTTTTGAACTGGATAAATCCAACAGAAAGGCTAAGAAAAACACAAGAGATGAACAGAACGATGGTACAATAATATTTTAAGACCTTTGGTGATTTGTGAATTACACATTAAAGAACACAATACTTATTAGAATCAGAGGGTTACTTTACAAAAATGATGATTTGTTAAGGCATAAAGAAATAAAAAAATAAACATAAAAGGTTAGCAATAGTAAGTAAACTTTTCAAATAAAAGGGCATGATAAAATTATAATTAACAAAGAAAAAGCAAAAGAGACTAAGTAATAGCATATTAAACAACGAACGGGCCAAAGAATAAACATAGAAACAGTTATTCTGAAGAGAACGATAAGAAGACACTATACTAACATTTGTGGGATCCCCATAAGTGGACTGCAAAGCAGTCCTTAGAGGAAAATCTAAAAATATTTCTATTAACAAAATAGAAAATTGGAGGAATGAGGAGGCAGCTTTAAGAATAAAAGGATCATGAAACTGATATGCAAAACAAACTACTATATTGTACTAACAAAATCAATAATGATGATTAAATATTACTTTGATTTAAAAAGATCAAATTATTAAAATGATAAACTCACAATGAGCAAAAAGAAATAAGAAATGACTATCATAAACTACTCTGTACAATGATGTGCCAGAAAATTTATGAATTTTAAGAAAAAATGGATGAACATCCACAAAAATACAAAACTCTCAAATTAACAGAACAAGAGCTAGAGATCCTATCCCAATCTCAGAACATCAAAGAAGGAAAAGAAAAGTGTTGGTTCAGATGGATTCACAGTAGAATTCTATCAAATATTTAAACAGCAATAAATAGCTGTGCTACAAAAATTATTCTCAATAATTGAGAAAGAAAGCATTCTATCAAACCCCTTTTATGGAACAAATATGGTCCTAATAGCCCACCCAGCTAGGTGGCGCAATGGATAGAATGCCAGGCCTGGAATCAGGAAGACATGAGTTCAAATCCAGGCCGAGACACTTCTTAGCTATGTGACCCTGGGCAAGTCACTTAATCCTATTTGCCTCAGTTTCCTCATCTGAAAATGAGCTGCAGAAAGAAATGGCAAACCACTCCAGGATCTTTGCCAAGAAAACACCAAATGGGGTCACAAGGAGTCAGACGCAACTGACACTCAACAGCAAAAACTTCATTTCCAGTTCTTTGATAGCATGAAAAGTGCTATGATATATAAATGGGATATTTCTTCCTGTCTTTGGCTTCCTTGGGGCATGTGCTTAGCCAGGGAACCTCTAGGTCAAAAGACACAGACATTTTAAGCACTTTTAAAAGTGAAAAATTGCTTTCCAGAATGGCTGGGCCAATTCACAGCTTCACCACTAATGTATCGATAAGCCTGGCTTCTTAAAGCCCCTCCAACACTGATAATTTCTATCTCATGTTGTCTTTGCCAACCTCTCTTAGCAATACAGGAGAAAAGTTAAAGGCATAAACAACAGTAAAGAGAAAACAAAATTTGCAAATGCCTTGATCATTTATCAATCAATTAACAAGCATTTATTAAGTGCCTAGTATGCTAGGTACTACAAATAGAAATATAAATAAAGGACTGTATCGTATTTTGAGGAACTTATATTTTAATTGTGGAGATAAGAAATACACATACATATACGTATGTATGAATATATATGCATAAACAGGATGAATATAAAGAGAATAAACATAGAGTAGTTAGGGAAGGATTAGGAAAGGCATCATATAGAAGGGGTCAATAAACATTTATTAAGCACCTACTACGTGCCAGGCACCATCTAAGCACTAGAAATACAAAAAGAGGCAAAAGTCAGTTCTTGCCTTCAAGGAATTTAATGTCTATAATAGTGGAAACAACATGCAAGCAACTATGTACGGGCAATTCTATACAGGACAAATGGGAAATTATCAACAGAGGGAAAGCACTAGAACTAAGAAGGATGGGGAAAGGCCTCAGTGAAAGGTGGGATTTTACCTGGATCTTGAAGAAAGCCAGGAAAGCCAGGAGGCAGAGATGAAGAGGAAGAACATTCCAGGCATTGAGGACAGCTAGAGGAAACACCTAGAGCAGAGAAATGGAGTGTCTACTTTGAGAAAAAGTCAAGGAAACCATTGTTACTGGATTGCAGAGTACATGGGGTGGAGGGTGGGGATGAAGAGGAGGTAGTGTGTGTGTTGTGTGTGTGTGTGTGTGTGTAAAATGTGTAACAAGATCGAAAAGGAGTAGGAGGAGTGTCTTATGAAGGAGCTGAACAACAAAGAGTATTTTATATTCGAGCCCAGAGGTGATAGGGAGCCACTGAGTTTATTGAGTAGAGGGTGACATGGTCAGACTTGCTTTAGGAAGGTCAGTTTGACAACTGAGTGGCAGAGAGACACCAGTAAGCTATTGCACCATAAATGAGGTGATGGGGACCTCCACCAGGGTGGGGAAGATAGACTAGCAGAGAAGGGGTGGATACTTATAGTAAAATTGACATTTTGGATGAAGAGAGGGATTCTCTGAGTTGGAGGTGAGGAAGCAGTGCATTCTTTATACAGGGAATGGCTAGTGTAAAGGTGTGTAGATGGGAAATGTGACAAACAGAAAGAAGGTGAGAAAACCCCATTGAATCAGTGAAGAAACAAATCAAGATGATTACTAGCTTCAGCAAAGAAGCAGAATATGAAATAAGTCTATAAAAAAAATCAGACTTTCCATTCACTACTGACAAAAACACAGGAGAAAGTGATAGAAAGAGATATACCATTCAAAACAATTCCATAAAATATCTGAATTGAAACTACTGAGACACATACAGGATTTATAGAAATTCAAATATAAATCATTCCTTACAGCAATAAAGGAAGACAAATAATTAGAGTCATTGCGGTTGGGCTGAATCAGTGTAATAAAAATGACAATATTATCTGAATTAATTTATAGGTTGAGTGCTACACCAATTAAAATTCCAAGGCGCTATTTTCTAGAGCTAAACAAAATAACAAATTTCATGGGGAAAGTAGAAATAAAAGGTGTTGAATTTCAAGAGAAATAATGGAAAAGTATAAATTTATGGGGCATAATAATAATAACATGTATACAGTGCTTACTATGGACCAGTACTGTACTAAACACTTTACAATTATTTTCTTATTTGATCTTCACAACAACCCTTGGAGGTAGGTGCTATTATCACTCCTATTTTACAGATGAGAAAACTGAGGCAAACAGAAATGAAATGATTTGCCAGGGTTGCACAGCTAGTAAGCATCTAAGGTCAAATTTGAACTCATGATTTCCTGTCTCCAGGCCTGATGCTCATCCCCTAGCTGCCAAGAGAAGGCTTATATGAGCTGATACGGAACAGAGGAAATAGAGTCTAGAACAATGTCTATAATATGTAATATTTATATAATGCATAATATTATCATGCCTAATGTCTATGACAATGTAAACAAAAGCAACAGGAGTATGCTACCAAACTCAGATTTAGTCAAGACAAGTCAACAAGCATTTAGTTAGTGCTTACTGTATGTCAATACTATGCTAAGCCCTGGATACTCTTAAGCATTCCCTTTCATTGTTCTATCTTGGTCCCAGAGAAAAGATGATGACACATTTCTCTCCTGTCTTCTGAAAGGGGAGAATCTTGCAGGTGTACAAGGTTTGCTAATGCTATTTAGATATGATTCCTTTTTCTTGGGTTTTATTTGGTTCTTTCCTCTTTTTCTTTAGAGGATGGAATGTGGATAAAAGTAGAAGAGATAATCCTGGGAAACAATTATAACATTGAAAAGAGAAGACAGGGGCAGCTAGGTGGTGCAGTGGATAGAGCACTGGCCCTGGAGTCAGGAGGACCTGAGTTCAAATCCGGTCTCAGATACATGACATTTACTGGGCCTTGTGACCCTGGGCAAGTCATTTAACCCCATTGTCTAGCAAACAAACAAAAAACAACAAGAAAGCAAAAAATAAAAATAGAACTTTCTTCTTTTTTAGAAACTAAAAAGAATACTGTACAAGAATCCTTGGGTTCTGGTCCTAGCCCTGCCCTGAGCTATGTGATCTTAAATAAGCCAGGTCCCCGTCTAAGTTTTGGGTTTTCACCTGTGAAATGAAAGGGATGAACTAGACAGTCTCATTCCAACTCCAAAGGAATCCTTGGCTACCAAGCTAAAGGAAGGGCAGCATGATTCAGAAGGGAGAAAAAAAATGGAAAGAGCACCTTGGCTTCTAGTCCTGGTCCTGCCTAGACCTGTATGAAAATAAAGAAGTTACCTCCTTTCTCTGGGCCTTGGATTCCTGTAAAACGAGAGCAAATTAATTAACATTCTAAGACTGATTAAGAAGTTAAAATGTGACTGAATCAACGCACTTATTTCTTTAATCTTCCTTTCTGCCTCAGTTTTCCCATCTATAAAATGAGGGGATTGGCCTAAATCTCAAAAATCTCTTAAGCTCTTCTTCAGATATGTAATCAATTCTTTTCTCTCTCTTATGTGCCTTGCAGGTAGCATTATTAAGAGCCCACGCTGGAGAACACCTTCTTCTTGGAGTTGCCAAACGATCTATTCCCTACACGGATTTCCTGCTTCTAGGTAAAAAGAATAAACATTCCAGGATTCTCTCCTCTTGCTCTGCTCCGACTTCCATTGTAAGTCTTTTATTGACATTGAGCGGCACCACCACCTGCAGTGCTGACATGAAAGTTAATTACTCTGGTCATGAATCTGTAGTTAGGAAGAGCCATTAGATAAGGCCAACGATACAGTCTGGAGTAGCCAGGCCAGTGTTACAGTCTGGAGTAGCCAGGATAAATTACTTGGAGGAGAGATGGGACTCAACCTGGGCCTTGATGGATGGGGGGATGTTCAAGCTGAAAGAGAAGAGGGAGTAAGATATTTCTGGTAGGTGAGATAACCAGAGATAAAGAGGCAGATATGACTAGAAGGGTGTGTGTGTGTGTGTGTGTGTGTGTGTGTGTGTGTGTGTGTATGTGTGTGTGTGTGTGTGCGTGCATGTACATGTGCATGTGTTTGGAGAGAGTCACAGAATCCTAGAATTTTAGACTTGGAAGGGACCGCAGTCCAACCCGTACCCCAGATAAGAACCCCTACTACAAATATATTTGACAAGTGGTCATTTAGCCTTTGCTTGAAGAACCTGAAGGAGGGAGAGCCCATTACAACCTGAGGCAGCCTCTTCCATTTTTGGATAGCTCTAATTGCTAGGAAGTCTTCCCTGACATCAAGCCTAAATTTGCCTCTTTGTAACTTTCACCCAGTGCTCTAATTTCCTCTTGGCCAAACAGAACATGTCAATTCCCTCGTCCATATATTAGCCATTTGAATACTTGAGGACAGCTCTCATTTCTCTCCTAAATCTTCTCTTTTCCAAGCTGAGCATAGATCATAGGATCATAGTTCTGAAGGTAGAAAGGACCGCAGAGGTCAACTAGTCTAACTTTCTCACTTTCCATATGAAGAAACTGAGGCTCTGAGAATTAAGTGACCTGCTCACTTAATTCATAAGTCACACAAGTACAAAGAGGCAGAACCAGGGTTCAAATAGGGGTCCACATTTAGTGGACTTTGCCATACACCATGCTGCCTGCCTATATCTATAGTTCCTTCAAACAGTCTTCATATGGTGTAGAGTAGACTCAAGGTCCTCTACCAGCTTTGTTGCCTGCCTCTAAACACTCTCCAGTTTACCAATATCCTTCCTAAACTATGATGCCCAGAACTAAACATATTCCAGCTGTGGGCTAACCAGGGCAAAGGATGGTAGGGCCATCTCATTTTTTTTAAATATAAGATCTTTTTTTTTGGGGGGATTAAGTGACTTGCCCAGGGTCACACAGCTAGTGAGTGAGTATCCTGTGTCTGAGGCCAATTTGAACTCAGGTCCTCCAGGGCCAGTACTCTATCTACCATCTCCTTATTCTTTAAAGCCTCCTAAGATTGCATTAACTTTTTGGACTAACACATTCTTGACTCATTGAGTTTGTAAACAATGATGCTAAGACCCCCCAGATCTTCTTCAAACTATTGCTTAACCATGCCTTCCCCCATCTTCTACTTCTGACCTTGATTTCTTTGAACCAGGTGTAAGACTTTAAATCTCTTCATTCTAAGTATAATTCTCTGTCTAGTACATCATGCTGCCTCCCTTTTGAAAGAAAACAGCAAGACAATATGGAAAGAACACTAGATTTGTAGCCAAAAGACCTGGGTTTGAATACTGGCTCTTTGGTCCTGTATGACCTTGGGCAAGTCATTTCCTCTAAGCTCATGTTTCTTCTATAGGAGAAGGGAGTACTTACCATTCATATGTCACACTCTATGCCTAGAATATATTTCCTCCCCATCTCCACCTCTCAGAATTAGACAGATCATGTGCAAAGAGAGCTAGAAGATTTTAATGGACTACAAGTTCAACATAAGTCAACAGGGTGATACAAAAGCTACTGCATTCTTGGGTTGCATCAAGCAAAGCAGTGTCCAGCATCTGAGACCAGTTCTGCTCTATTCTTTCTACAAATAAAGTATTAGGCTCCATTCTGGACTCAACATTTCATCAAGGACATCCAGAGAAGTGATAGGGATGGTGAAGAGCCTTGAGATCATGCCATAAGGGACTGTTTGAAAGAAAGGGAGAATGTTTACTGAAAGAAGGGAACACTTGGGGGGTGAGGGGAAAGGAAGGGGGGTGTCACAGTGGCAGCGTGAGCAGCAATAGCACTGTTAACCTGGCTTCCAAACCTGCCTCTGATGCTGACTACCTTTGTGCCTTCAGGCAAGTAAGTTAACCTTTCCAAGTCTCCATTGCCTCGTCTAAAAATGAGGAGTTGGATATAATAGCTTCAGAGGTTCCTTCTAGCTCTACCATTATGATTTTATGGTCATCTTCAGGTATTTGATGGACTTTCCTTTAGAAGAGAGATTTGCTCAGGTTGACCCCAAAGTGTAGAAGGGGGAGCCCTGCGGGAATGAGTGGAAGCAGTGAAAAGAAGCAAATTAAAACTTTGTCTAGGAGCACCAGCCCTGGAGTCAGGAGGACCTGAGTTCAAATCCAGCCTCAGATACTTGACACTTATTAGCTGTGTGACCCTGGGCAAGTCACTAAGGCCTGATTGCCTCACCCTCCCCCCCCCAAAAAAAGAAAAAACTTCATCTAAGAGAAAATGTCTTATTGCTATGCAAAAGTGAACTGGTCTGCCCCGGGAGGGAGTGGGCTCCCTCCTGACTTGGAGACCTTTGTAATGTATAAAAAGTTTGAGACTTAGTTTCTGGGTAATTAATCATTTTATTAAACATGCTAGCTTGTAATTTATAAAAGCGGTCAGTGACACTCTTAAGTACCGAAGACCTCTCATGGAACCCATTCAATATTTATATGGCTTTGGAAGACTAGGTGTTCCTGAGAGTGGCAATCGGCTCTGATTGGTTAATAATTAATGAGAGAATGAATATTATAATGAGAAGTGGGCTAATTCTAATGAGGGTCTGGGAGATGTGACTGATCACTCAGGCTTGGTCAAAGAGACTTATTTGCACCCATATCACCCCCTCTGTGATAATCTAGACAAAAGGGAGAATCCACGTTTTCCCAGACCTGTCTGAGTGAAACACAATGGGCTAGAATCCATCAATTCACCTAAACTAAAATTTCTTTACCTTTTGAACAGATCTCAGTTTTCCCTCTCCTTAGCTCTATACTTCAAAAACTGCCTGAATAAACTACAGGGGCTGATTTCTGAATGAGGAAGTAGAAAAGGGAAAACATCTTTATCCTAATTCAATAATTGGTTATTAATATAAGACAGAAATAATCCTTTCTCTCCCCTTCATGCAAAGGTTGGATGCCCACTAGTTGAGTATGCTGCAGAGAGATTCTACTTCAAGAATGGGTTGAAGTAGACCCCTTCTGAGGTCCTTCCAACCCAGAGATTCTGTGATTCTATAAGAATGTTGATCATCCTTCAGATGTTAACTATTTCATGAAGTCTTCCTTGCTCTTCCCAGTTGTCAAAGCCCCCTCCTTCCTCAAATCACCTTGTATTTACTGATCTGTGCAAATATTGTATCATGCATATATTGAGGGTGCAAAGACTAAAAACAAAACAGCCCAGATGCTTTAGATTTTGAGGTGCATTATACTGGAGGGAAATGGCATTGTAGTACACAGCATGCACAGAATCATAGGCATTAAAGACAATATATACAAATATAAATAAGTGCAAAGTACACGGAAAGTATTTGTTTTTACAGTGATGGTATAAAGGATCTATGAGATGAATAGGGAAAAGCCTCATGTTATAGGAGGTGGGATCTGGACAGACACTTGAAAGGAACTAGGGACTCTAAGAGGTAGAATACAGACTGTGCAAAGAGAGAAAGGGAGGAGATGGAATACCATGGATGGGGAATAGTCATCGGGTCATTTGGGCTGGACCAAAAAGCACACCAGGGAGAATAATGTCACATCAGCCTAGAAAGTCTGAAGCCAGATTGGGAGGGGCTTTAAATACCAGTCATGGGGAAAGCTGTTTATGCTGCAGGCAGTAGGCAGCTTTTGAAGCTTCTTGAAGAAGGGAGGGACGTGCTCAGACCTATGCTCTGAAGGATAGCCATTTGGGACTGCAAGATGATAGATTGAAGTGGGGAGGAGAGGAAGGGAATTCTGTCAGGAGGTTATGTCTAGAAGTGATGAGGGGTCAACCTAGAGTGGTGACCAAAGGAGCAGAGAGGAGAGCTTGTGGGGGGTGGAATGGAATCCTGGTGCTCCCTGGCAAAGTCTATTCTAATGCTAAGGATCCAGCCAGCACTTTACGAATGTTGGCTAAATCTGTTACTAACTGCCTACTACTGTGTCTCCATTGTATAAGAAGGCATTTACAAAAAAATCAGAGACATGACATTTACTTAATAAATGAGTCAGTCCCATAGGCTTTAAGAGATTTTCTTGAGTTGTTTTTTTTGTTTGTTTGTTTTGGTGCTGAATCAAGTTGCATAGCACAGCAAGGAAGGAAAAAGGATAGACTGAAGTAAAAAGAGAAAAATAAAACATCTAACACTTCATCAGGTTTCATCAGATTAGCAGAGCATATCCTACAGCACCACCTGCTGTCAGGAAAAGTTATTACATTGTCCAAGTTGGTCTTCCCCCACCTAGATTGATTTTACTAATCAATCAATAAATATCTATTAAGCTGGCATATCTACTATATGCTGGCATTATGTGCTGAGGGCAGCTGGGTGGTGTATTGGATAGAGCACTTGGGTTGGAGTCAGGATGACCTAAGTTCAAATATGGCCTCACACTTACTAGTTGTGTGACCCTGGGCAAGTCACTTAACCCCTATTTGTCTCAGTTCCTCATCTGTAAAATGGGGACACACTGGAGAAGGAAATGGGAAACTACTCCAGTATCTTTTCCAAGAAAACCCCAAAAATGGAGTCACAAAGAGTCAGAACAACAACAATGTGGCAGGCACTGCGCTAAATGTTGGGGATTATAAAATAGAGGCAAAAGACAGTCCCTGCCCTCAAGGAGTTTATAATCTAATGGGAGAGACAAGAAGCAAGCTATGTACAAGATAAATAGGAAATAACTGACAGAGGGAAAGCACTAGAATTAAGAGGGGTTGAGAAAGGCTTCTTGTAGAAGATAGGATTTTAGTTGGGATTTAAAGGAAAGCAAAATTTACTTGTTAAATGTGAGCTCTTTCCTTATCAGTATTATAGAGAGCTAGATGTAATCATAAGTAAAAGAGGCAGCTACCTGAATTGTGCTAGTGTGAAATTACCAGCTCCTCACTCCTTGCCCCCACATACACCCTCAAGCAAATCTAATTTTTGCTTGAAACTTAACCATTACAATTCAGCAATAGCACTTCTAGGGCTGTATCCCAAAGAGATCATACAAATGGAAAAGGACCCACATGTACAAAAATATTTACTGCAGCCCTTTTTGTAGTGGCAAAGAATTGGAAATTGAGGGGTTGCCCATCCATTGGGGAATGGCTGAACAAGTTGTGGTGTATAAATGTAATGGAATACTATTGTGCTATAAGAAATGATGGGCAGGAGGACTTCAGAAAAACCTGGAAAGACTTGTATGGACTGATACTGAGTGTAGTGAGCAGAACCAGGAGAACATTGTACACAGTAACAGCCATGTTATGCAATGACTAACATTGATAGACTTAGCCCTTCTCAGCAATACAAGGATCTAAGACATCTCCAAAGGCCTCGTGATGGAAAATGCTCTCCACATCCAAAAAAAGAACTGTGGATTTTGAATGCAGATGGAAGCATACGATTTGCTATTTTTTTCTTCTGTTGTGTTTTGTTTCCTCTTTCTGGTGGTTCCTCCCATTAGTTCTAATTCTTCCTTACAACATGACTAATGTGAAAATATGTTTAATAGGAATGTATATGTAGAGCCTATATCATATTTTGCGCTGTCTTGGGGAGGGAGATAAGGAGGGAGGGGGAGAAAAATTTAAAACTCAAAAGCTTATGGAAGTGACTGTTGATAAATCAAAATAAATTAATTTTTAAAAAAATTTTAAAAAATAAGAAACTTGACCATTATCATACTACATTCCTAATAATCCTCAGTCCTTTTGGTTGTCATTATTCAGTTGTATCTGACTCTCTGTGACCCACTTTGGGTTTTCTTGGCAAAGACACTGAAGGGGTTTGCCATTTCCTTCTCCAGTTCATTTGACAGATGGGGAAACGTAGACAAACAAGGTTAAGTGACTTACCCAGGTTCACCCATCTAGGAAGTGTCTGAGGTGAGATTTGAACTCAGGTCTTCTTGACTCTAGTTTGAGCACTCTATCCACTGAACTACCTAGCTGCCCTGCATTATGCCTTCAGTCCTATATTAAAATGCAAATACCCAATCAGAAGATTGGATTTGATTAATAAATGAGCCAGTCCCATAGGCTTTAAGAAATTTTTGATTGAATTTTAATTGAATTAATTTGATTGTGGTTTTAATTGAATTTTAAGATTGATTAGCCATTTATACTTTGCGACTGTACCTCTCCTGAGAACAGGGTTTAGCAAGGGGAGAGGACTGCATCATGTGAGGTGTGGAGAGGAGGGGATGTACCTACGAAGGATTGAAAAGGACCCAAAGGAATGGCTGGCTAGCTCCATGATTTTTGCCCCAGAGTAGGCTTCAGTACCAAATGATGATTACTTAAATGCCAAAAGGTCTGTTTATTCAAAAAGGATCGTGGGTCAGGTGGTCATTTTCTTACAAGTTCATTATCCTATGAGGTTCTCTCCCAGGCCCCAATCTAGAAGAGATTTAGTATATCTACTTGTAGTAGTATATCTACTTGTAGATATACTAAAGGTCAGTTTCTTATGTTCCATTCTCTGTATATAGGCTTTCATGTCAAGTGTACCTGTTGACAGAGTCCAATGCAGATGGTTCTATAGCCTGCAGATGATATAGCTGTTCTCACTCCTCCCCAGGAAATGATTTCATTATTCCTATGCACTGCCCAGAACTGGAAATTGCTCGAGTTGCTATAAGAATACTGGAAGAGTTGGTCAAGCCCTTGAGAGAAATCCAAATTGATGACAACGAATATGCGTGTCTTAAAGCTATTATATTCTTTGATCCAGGTAAGAGAACTAAAAGTCACTAGTTGCTGACTCTGGCTATGCATTAAAACAGAAGAAAGAAAGAAAGAAAAAGAAAGAAAGAAAGAAAGAAAGAAAGAAAGAAAGAAAGAAAGAAAGAAAGAAAGAAAGAAAGAAAGAAAGAAAGAAAGAAAGAAAGAAGAAAGAAAGAAGGAAGGAAGGAAGGGAGAGAAAGAAAATAAGGGAGAAAGAGAAAGATAAAGAGGGAGGAAAGAAAGAAATGAAGGGAGGGAGGAAGAAAGAAATAAAGAAAGAAGAGGGAGGAAAGAAAGAGAGAGAAGGAAGAGAGGGAGGAGGAAAGAGAAAAAGAAAGGAAGGAAGGGAAAGAAAGAAAAGGAGAGAGGAAAGAAAGAGAAGGAAGAGAGGAGGGAGGAATGAGAAAAAAGAGAAAGACGAGGAAGGAAAGAAAGAAATGCAAAAGAAAGGAAGAATGGGAATGGGTTGGTGTGATAGAGAAGAGAACCCAGCCAAGGGAAGAAAAAAAGGTGGGGAGAAGGACAAAGGGAAGCATTATGCTATAAAATGGATGGAAAATCCTCTGTGCTCATTGATGTTGCTACCCACCTAAGCAGGCTTAGTACAATACTTGGCATACAGTAAGAACTTAAGCAATGCTTTTTGCCAACCAACAGAAAGGAGAAGGGGAAGGGAACAAGCATTGGTTAAGTGCCTACTGTGTACCAAGCACTGTGCTAAGCACTTTACAAATATTATCTTATTCGTTCTTCACAATAACCATGGGAGGTAGGTACTGTTATTGTCCCCATTTTACAGAGAAGGAAACTGAAACTGACAGAAATTAAGTGACCTGGATCACACAGCTAGTGAATGTCTGAGGCCAAATTTGAACTCGGGTCTTCCTGACTCCAGGCCCAGTGCTCTATCCGTTGTACCACCTCGCTGAAGGATTTGGGGGTCTCTAAGGTTGACGGGGCCCTAAGAGAACACCCTCTTCCAGGTGTTCCATGTCTCTGCTTTGGTGCAGTGATGGTTAGGGAACTTGAAATCATGTCCAAAAAAAAAAAAGTTCAATCAGACAGTTGTCTTCAAATACCTGAAGGGCTTGTGATGTGGGGAGAGAGATTTGGCTCATTTCACTTGGCCCCAGCAGGAAGAACTGGGGTGCATGGGTGGAAGTTACAGGGAAACAGTCTGATAATAAGAAACACTGTTCAGCCTGTGATAGGCTAGCTGTCTTATAAGGAAATGAGACCTGTCACTGGGCAGGATTCATACATTAGGCAAGCAGGTGGCCTCGATGACCTTGAAAGTTCCTTCCAAATTTAAGAAATTGTCTACACTTTCAAGGGAGGGGGGGGAAATGTTTACAAAGCTTTATTGGGAGCAGCTAGGTAGCTCAGTGGATAGAGTGCTGGGCCTGGGGTCAGGAAGACTCATCTTTCTGAGCTCAAAGCTGGCCTCAGACACTTAATAGCTGGAAGACCTTGGGCAAGTCACTTCACCCTGTTTGCCTGAGTTTCCTCATCTGTCAGATGAGCTGAAGAAGGAAATGGCAAACCATTCCTGTATCTTTGCCAAGAAAACTCCAAATGTGGTCACCGAGAGTAGACATGACTGAACAAGAGGTCCAGTGTCTTTAGCATAAGGAAGACCTGTATTCAAGTCTTGCCTCTGACTCATCTGATATACTACTCCATGACCCTGGGAAAATCATTTGATATCTCAGTGCCTCTCAGAAACCTCTCTAAGACTGCAGAGTTTCCCCACCCAGAGTTCTCTAAACTGATGAAATCACAGGCTCCAAGCTTCAGAGCTAGAATAAACGCTAGAGGCCATCACATCTAAACCCCTTCATTTTATAGATGAGAGTATCTTGCCACCACTAGTTAGAGCCTGAGGCATTTGACCTTGGGTCTCCCTGATCCCAAGCCCAGCGCTCTAACCCACTGAACTGCCTGGAAAATTGGAGGCCTCTGGGTCACCCAGACCGACTTTTGTGCTCGTAATCCCCATGTCAGTTAAACCCTCTAAACTTCTGGAGGTAACCATCCAGTTGCCAAGGGTGAATGCCTCAGCCTACTGATGTACACAAGGAAGTACTAAAGTGGGGGAGGGAAGTAGAACCAGGAACCAGGCCCTGTCAGCTGCCTCATTCTCTCTAGAGGAATTCTAACATTTATCTGAAGGAACTCTTTGGCTGACTGGACTCCTTTGCAAAACAATGTTTGTAAATTCGTAAACTACACACAAGGAAATGAGTTATATTGAAATGCACATCATAGCATTTTTTAGTTGACAAGATTCAACTATAGAGGTTTTAATTAGTAGTCTCCAATAATGTGGCACAGTGGATAGAGCGCCAGGCCTGGAGTCAGGAATACTTGAGTTTAAATCCAGCCTTAGACACTTACTAGCTGTGTGACCCTGGGCTAGTCACTTAAGCCTCTCTGCCTCAATTTCCTCAATTGTAAAACAGGGATAATAATAGCACCTTCCTCTCAGGGTTATTGTGAAGATCAAATGAAGTAATATTTATAAAGCACTTGGTATAGTGCTTTCTTTCCTTCCTCCCTCCCTCCCTGTCTCCCCTCCTTCCTCTCTTCCTTCCTTTTTTCCTTTTCTCCTTTTCTCCCTCCCTCCCACCCTCCTTTCCTTCCTACCTTTTTTCTTCCTTCCTTCCTTCCTTCCTTCCTTCCTTCCTTCCTTCCTTCCTTCCTTCCTTCCTTCCTTCCTTCCTTTCTTCCTTCCTTCCTTCCTTCCTACCTTTCTTTCCTAGCTTCCTTCCCTTCTCCCCTCCCCTCCCCTTCCGCATTGCAGGGGGCTGGAGATGTCTTTGTGCTGCACGTAAAAAGAAGGCAGTGGCAGCCTTGGACATTCCTAATCTGGAGCCCAGAATTTTAAGCAATGATCATTCCTTTTCGTGTTTACATCCTTTAGTGCCCAGCAACAGAGAAGGCTCATTGATTGGTGCCAAGTGTGACTGAGGCCAGTCAGTGAGGCAGCAAGGGTGTAACAGCGGACAGACACAGGCTTGGGCATCTGTCCAATGAGCTGAGGCGCTCAGCGAGAACTTTCTGTGATTCTGTGATGTTGGCGTAGGATTTTCTCCAGGGATCACGCCTTAGCAGGGGAGTGCGGCGCCCCCATGACCTGACATTGTGCCTTCTCCACTCTTTCTCTCCCTCTCCCAGACTGCAAAGGCCTGAGCGACCCTGGAAAGGTGAAACGAATGCGCTTCCAGGTGCAGGTGAACCTGGAGGACTACGTCACGGACCGGCAGTACGACTCGCGGGGCCGCTTCAGCGACCTCCTCCTCCTGCTGCCCCCGCTGCAGAGCATCACCTGGCAGATGATAGAGCAGATCCAGTTTGTGAAACTCTTCGGCATGGCTCGCATCGACAGCTTGCTGCAGGAAATGCTCCTGGGAGGTAGGCAAGGCCCCCACCTGCTCTCCGGGTCCCTCCCGGCCCCGCCCTCTCAGGGCCCCCCCCCTCGTGCTTGGTTCCTCCTGGTCCTGTCCTTCAGCTACCATAACAACCCGGTGAAGACCGACAGAGTCAGCTACACCCAGACTATGGGCTGCTGTGGGGTCTTAGGTGAATTTTCACCAAGTCCTCCCAGAAATGCTCAGTTCCCATTAACAGCAACTGATGGAAGAGTTGGAGGTGATACAGCGAACAGAGCGCTAGATGTGGAGTCAGTCAGGCCCGAGTTCAAATCCCACCTCCGACCCTTTCTAGTTCTGTGACCCCTGACAAGTCAGCTTCTATCTCAGTTTCCTCATCTGTAAAATCGGTAAAATAGTAGCACATATCTCAGGGTGGTTGTGAGGATTATATGAGTCAATATATGTCAAGTGCTTTGCAGACTTCAAACCACTATATACATGTTTGCTTACGAAACTGGGGGGTGGGGGAAGGAGATACAGGGAAGATGGGCAATGGACAGCCCGAGGCTGGAACCGAAAAGGTATGGTAATGGTAACTGAGAGGAAGCAGGAGTTGAAGAGACCTTGGGCCAGACAGATAGAGTCAGGGTGGCAGAAAAAGGGATGGAATCAACTTCTGCCCCTTGAGTGGGAAGTGTGGTGGGGCTAGGGTACAGAGATGTTGGATAACAACAGCTGATAATAATAATAATAATAGCTTAAATAATTGGTTACCTACTTCTTTCTTTTGAGCCTCATGACTACTCTGTGAAGTAGATGTAATTATCCCCATTTTGCAGATGATAAAACTGAGTCTGAGACTTGCCCAGGCTCATCCAATTAGTAAGTGTCTGAGGGAGAATTCCAATTCACTTTGTCTCAGGCTTTATTTGTCATCTACTCTGCCCTTGGATACACAGAAATTGGAAGGAAGGCAGAAGGATTAGCTTTTTATTTCTTCCCATTTCCCCCCATTTCTTGATATTCCTTTCTACCTTTCCCTTTTTTCTTTTATGTTATATTAATGAAAATCTGATTTTTAATCATTTTTAAAATTAATTTTAGTTAATGAAAATATTTTATTTTCACTTCACCATTTATTTCCAGGTTCATCCGGCCTTCCCTCCTGTCATCCACTGTAACAGTGATTACAAACTATTTACTACACCTACAGCCTTGACCCAAACTCTCCCTTTGTGTTTGCTTACAGGGAACACCACAGAGATGCCCCAGTATCATTCTGGGATGCCCAGCCTAAACCTGGAGCCAGACACAAGCCATATCCTTCCCAACACCCTCAGTTCAGTGATCCAGGCTGCCCCTTCGGCAAGCCAGAGCTGCTCCTTTACAGAAGGTCATGGTGAGGACACCAAATAGGGTTCTTGGGCTGAAGTTACAAAAAAACAGAAGAGCAATTGGAATCACTGGACTTTGAGGATGTAGAAGACGGTCTCTATGAGAATAGCTGTCCCTAGCTGTGCTTTAAGGGGTCCCTAATCCCAAATCTCAATCTTGCCATGAGTCATGGTGCCTGAAATTCCACCTTAAAGTTGCATTTGGGTCTGACAGGGAACTTAAAGATGGCGGCATCTATTAATTGCAAATACTCATGGGAGGCCTCACATTAGCAAGGTCTAGCGAGCAGCTAGCTAGAAGCAGGGCCCTGTAGGACTGAGATACAGATGTTGGAGGTGTCAGGAAATATTCAAATCAAAGGTTGTTTACCTGGGGTCTGTGAACTTTAAAAATTAGACTCTTCAATATAATTGGTTTAATCCTATTTTATGTGTTTAAAAACTTTATTCTGAGGAGTCCATGAGCCAAAAAAAGTTAATTACCCTTAACTTTGATAGAAAAATCTTCCTTCTTTGAGAATCAAGTTGATCTTTTTTTTTGGGGGGGGGAGATAGTCAAAAGTCACTGGAAGCCAAGTTTGATAAATAAGCATTTGGGGCTATCAGACTTGTCAGCCAATTTAGCAAATAGGTAATTAGTGTGAGCTGTGGTCAAAAAGCTCATGCTGCTCTGAGTTTTCAAAGTTTACATTTTAACTGGGAGAGAAGAGAAGAATCTGAACTAACATCTTTTTCCCTTCTCAGCATCTCCAGACACATCTGTCTCTTCTACAAGCCCTGGGAAAGAAGATTATAAATTGGACCCTGCCAGAGGGACCTGAGATGCCCATTCAAATACTGCCCCAGATCATCATTCCTAAGCAAGAGATTTTATAAGCCACGAAAGGGAAGAGACTTAAGCCCCCTAGGAAGTCAGCTACAAGCCAGTCTCCTTACCTTTCCAGGTGTGAGCCCCCATGACTGCCTCAGCTCCACAGCCCACTCAGATTTCAGGGGCTGAGGATTCCAATGGTCACATCCAGTTGGCTACCTGGTTAGTACCAGGATTTTTGTTGGTCCCTGGATTGGTTCCCCAGGGCCTCTTTCCCTCTTGAAAATATAAGATGGCCAAACTTTGGAGACACTTTAAAGTAAATGTCTCCAAAAGCTGTCCAGCAGAACTGAAAAGTCACTATGGTCTAACTCTATTTGGCAGGATTGAAATCTCCAGCTTCTATTAGCAAAACACAAAGCAACAGGGATCCAACTAATTTATGTCCCCAGCTTAAGATGTTTTTAGACCTGGAGGCAGAACATGAAGCCCATACATACACAGAGAACACACATTGAGTGTATTTTTAAAAATAGCCCATTTGCAAATTGGGCAGAGGGGGTATACTCAGGAATCCACCTGCCAGTTTGAAGAAGGGCTCAGCTATCTTTCATCCAATTCCTAGAAACATCTGCTAAAGATGCCTACTACGTGCAAGGTACTGCACTAATCACTGGACTGATTTTACAACATATGGGCTCTAACATCCTTTCCCTGTTTCCTCCTTCCTGCCAGTCACACCTTACCCCATCTTCTCAAAGTATTTCAATGCAACATCTACAAAAGACCATGCAATTTCCCCGCCTCAACCACATCACATCAATACCTTAAAACAGTTAGGAATAATTGGTTATCGATGGGGAATTTTGGTTTGGTTCTGATAAGACAATATGTCCATTACAAAGGGATGTAGTGCCAGTTGTGTGGCCATAAAGGAGTCACTGAACCCCACTGGCCTCATCTGTAAAATGGGGGTAGTTGGCAGTTCCCACCTTGCCAGGTTGTGGTAAGGATCAATGGAGATTATGTATGTAAAGGGACAAGTGTGAAGTGAATATCTGCTATTAATATGAAGTCATGAAACCTCTCTGCATTTTAACCACCCCATCCCTGCCTCCATTCCCAGTTTCAGACCTCCTAATCTCTCAGACTTCTGCTAAACCAGCTTTTCTCAGTGGCTGAGTACTTGAATCAAGCTTCACGTCACAAAGACCCTTTTGCCTGACACAGATGAAGTGTGACAATAATGAGACAGAGGTTCAAATAGACAGATGTTGAATGTGCAAATATGTGTTATCCCCATCTATGCGTGGGAAGCAACTGACAGAACTAATTCTTGCTCAGGGCACTTCCTCTCAAAATTACCTTTAGAGCCAAAATCATTCTTTTATTCTCAGGGATGACAAATCTGTCCTATGACAATGGATTTGAGTTTGGAAGCGGCAGAGTCATTCTAGGTCATAGCAGGGGACTGAAGCAGGGGACCAAATTGGATACAACCATTTAGGTAAAAAAATGAGGGGTGATATATAAAAGGAATGACTCTGGTGTCAGCTCTGCTTACTAAAGACTCAAATCAAAATAGACTGGCTCCTGAAGGTCACACATATTTGAAGCAAAGACAGAATCTTCAGCACACATATAGCTTCCCATGGTGACTGCCTTGAAGGGAATAATATTATCCCTTTGGATATGTAAATTCTAATCTGTTAAAATAAATCTGTCCCATGACTTCATCGTCACACCTTATATATGAGCAATATAATTAATGCAGGTATTTTCCACATTAGTCAAGAGTTGTGAAAATGTCTCATTACTGATGTCCTTTTTATAGCTGTATTTTTTTTAAAAAACTGAATATAAACATGTACATTTAGATTTTCAAAATATACAACCATATATATTACATACATATATGTATATATATGTATATGTGTATATATGTATTCAAACACATATCACTATAGGAACAGAAAAAATATCTGATCAATGTTCTCACATGCGTAAAGCTGCATATCTGGAACCTCTTGACCAATTTTCCACGTACAGTATTAATGCTCAAAAATCTAGAAAGTCAAGTGATATTTCTGTTTGCTGAGGTTAGCCTACAGCATGAAAATGTCATCATTGCAATGTGTGGCTTGTTTTCATGGCCTTTTAAGATTTTTAAATCTTGCTTCTTCCAACTGGAAAGACAGAAATCACATCAATATTCAAAATGCCTGGTGCCTTGAACTTCATCAAGCCAGAATATGGCAGTAAAACTGAAGACACGCTAATGTACCTCAGCTAAGCCTGGCATGGCAAACACACCACCCTGTACCACCTGTGACACTAAATGGTAGCCAATGAAACCCAAAATTTAACTGTTGATTTTTGCAAATCATTACTTAACAAATGGCCAGTGATCACTGTCATACCAGAAAATGAATTTGACTATAATCATGCAATGATCAAATCACAGTTTTCTCTTGAACTCGGGAGTCATTTTTTCAGGCATTAACTCATGAATCTTCAATATCTTGCAAGGCAAAGGAGTGATTTTAGGTGGAGGACTTTTTTTCCAGACTGATTTGGCAGATCAGGAAATGGAAACCATGTCAATAATTCAAAATCATTTTTGTGCATCTCACAAATTACATTGGTTCTACACAACCATGACTAGATATCTGAGGGAAGGGGCAGAAATCCTGAGCGCCACACTGCCGAGAAGGGCACATTCCATTTTCACTGACCCCAGACCTTACAGGTCCCCAAATCCAGTGCAATGGTATAGGTAATTCTCCCCAGTTGTAATCATACTGGTGAGGAAGAACCCAGAAGAGGTCTGTGACAGCAACAGAATTCTCAGGATGTCCTAGGACCAATACTGTATGTGTCCTAGGACACCTAACTGGATGTGGGCTCACAGTGGCCCTCTGCTAGTTACAGCTCTGCTTACCAAACACTCAAATCAAAATAATGAGATGCAATACAAGAGGAAAATTAGTGAAGCCCAAGAAGTGTTCCGTTTTTACTAGATCCCTTTCTTACCAGTGTGATGTTGAAGCTAATTCTTGTTCCCCCAAGGGTCTCTCAAAAACAATATTTACTGACTACTTTCTGGAAGGAGGTAGATAGCTGCATGTACAGGTATCGTAGGCATCATTCTTGAATTTACTTGTCTTTACAATTTCTGGGTTTCTTTTTCCAAATAAAACACAGGACCATTATATGATACAAAATGTGCATTTGATTCTTTTATTAGCAAATGGGACATTTTGCTCAGAGGATTCTGGCTCTTTAGTTTCATTTGCTATCACCAGAAGCAAGGAAATAAGCATTTATTTAAGTGCCTAGTATGTGCTAGGCACCATGCTAAGCACTTTACAAATATCTCATTTGATATAGAGAGAGAACCTCTCCTTGCCAGGTACTAGGGCTGACTGGAAGCTGCTTCTGGGTTCTAACGCCCACTGTTCCTCATAGGTAAGGATGTTGATGACCCACAAGACTTCAATGTCATCACGTATGGGGGGTTATTAAGGCAACTGGAGGCAACTGTCTAGAGGAACTGGGGAGAGGGATGAGGGATAAAAGAAAGCATTGCTGAGCAAAATGGTGATATTGCCAGCAGATGGCGAGCCTTTTTATCTCAGCCAATTCTAAGAAAGTAAGACCTACTGTTGTCTATTCTAGTAAAAATACACAACTATTCTATATCTTCATTCAATCAAAGATGGGACACCTGTTATGTCAAATAGATCCCAGAGTCTTTAGTTAGGCTTGAAAAATCAATCCTGTTCCAAATGCAGTGCTACTGAAGGCAATTCAATCAACAAGCATTTATTAAGCACCTATGAGCCAGTCATTGAATATACAAAAGCAAAAAATAAAGCTTTTGCCCTCAAGTTTACAATTTATTTGGAGGGGGGCAGGAAGACTGTGTTAAAATCTTGTTTCTATGCCTCTCCTTCAGCAAATACCGGCTCACACTTAAATAGCACATAAGGTCTGAGAAACACCTGATCAAATTATTTTTTATCTCCACTTGATCATCCATAAAACTTATTTTTTCAGTATGTCAGAGGATTGTGGTTTTGTCAGCGTGGGAACTTTCTCTACTAAGATCAGTACCTTGATAGTATTTCACGAGTTTCTGTGTCAAAAATTGCTTGTGACCTAGTCACCAATCTTTTGCACTTAGCTAGGCTGGCCCTGGTACAACCTTCTGATGCCTGGCTCATTCAAAGCCTTTCTGGTTTGATAAGACCAGCAATAGCTAATGCCCCACTGGCATAACCCTTAGGGAACCCAAAGTCACCTCTACACCAAGGTAATACATCAGAGAACTTTGGATGAAGACAGACGTTAAAAGAAGAGAATGCAGCATAAAATCTTACTGGAGTTTTTCTAGGGTCCTGTCATATGAACTGACCCTTCAGCTGAATTTGTTATAAGTAAAAAATAATAATAATAATAATAATAATATTGGCCTATTTTGAAGTAGCCTTCCAAAACTATCTTTTCCTGACTCTTGCCCTTATACAGGCAGGTTAAAGAAACTCAGAGAATCACAGATTTAGAGTTGGAGGGGATTTTGGAGAACATCCAGTTTGATTCCCTCATTTTACAGAGGGAGAACAGAGACCCATAGGAGGAAACTGAATTGCCAAAGGCTAAACAGATAGCAAGTGTTTGAGCCAGAATTTGAACCTCAAGCCTGAATCCAAATCCAGCCCTCTTCCCAGTGCTGACTCCTGCTTTTTACAGACATAATAAATGCTTGGGCAGGTTTCTCACACAATGCTTATCTGCATTAGCCTTTGCTCTGCATAACTTCTAGTTCTGACATAGCCAGTTTCCACACTTCACCTCCTCTCCATTGCTTTGCATAGAAGCAGCTACTTCTTTCCTTTGAAGAGCTCACAATGAGAGCTGAGGTCCCCAACTGACAGGCAGAGCTCGACCTATAAATCTCAAAGCTTTACTGGGTCAACCTCTCCAACGTCATCACTGCTCTGAAATCTGTCAGGACTCCCAATGAAGAGGGCCCCTAGCAGCAACATTCACCTTATAACCCTGCCTTCTGGAGGGACTGGGCACGTTTCACACATTCCGAGGTAATTCACATCAGGTTTCCTATATTCTGTCCTCCTTTTCCTCACCCAGTGACCTGAAAGTTTCAGGAAAAAGCTAAGTGGTCCCAATCTAAGAGGGTTGGGATGGTCCAATTAGAGTGATAATTATCTATTTCTTCATCACAGATGGCTATAATGGGGGACAAGAGTAAAGGCACTGTTTGCCCTTTAAAGGTATGACTTTAAAGTGTAAAACCAACAGTCTCAGTTGTCTAGAGCATACTTTTCTCTTATAAAAAGTAAATGTGTGTAAACTTAACATCACGCCAACTTCTCACCCTTGAGTAAGACATCTATGACCCTCATCCAACAAATTCAGCCAGTGAGCATGTTAGTGCTGCAGACCATTAAACTCAGCTCAGAAGATGCCTTTCAGTGTGCATGGGCTTCAATAATACTGAGTCAGGGAGCCCCCACATCAGCTGAAAACTTCTAAAAATAGCCACAAAATGAGGTAATATTCCACTAAGCCAACTAATTAGTATTTGACCCTATTTGACCAAAGTCATTACACTGAATGAAACTTTTTTTGTTATTAAAAAAGACTTTTAAGTTCCCATGTCACTAGAACTTTAGGAAACAACCCTTCATTTCTAGCTAACAAGAAATTTGGCCCTCACTGGTAAAGAGGAAGCTAATGCCATTCTCCCCATTCTCTGCTGGAATGCCAACACACCCTTACTGTTAGACGTCTTTCTGCACACCAGCCTGCTGGTTTTCACTGACTCATCCACAAGCATTTATGAAGTATTTACATGTACACTGCATATGTCTTGCAAGACAGAGAAGATCAGCCTCTTAACTGAAATCTACACAGAGTTAACTGTTCTTAGAGCTGGAAGTGAAAGAATCTGGTTAGCTCCTTTTCTTCAGGCAAGGTGAAGCACTGTGCCCACTTTACAGATGAGACAAGAAGGACCAGAATGGCTAAGTGACTAACTCACAAGGGTGGAGTGGAATAAGGGAGGAATTGGAACCCAAGGTCTCCTACCTGCTGAAGTCAGCCAGCCCCCTTTGTTATATTGAACGGCCTCTCGACTACCACTGACTTTTCCTCTAAGAGAAATAAGCACCTTACCACTGGAAACCAGTCCCTGTCTTTCCAGTCTGATTTCATATTACTCCACTTCCACATAATCTGCACATTCCTTGAGTTCATCCTATCTTCCCTCTTCTCTTTGCTTATGCTCAAACCACCTCATCATGCCACAAACTGCCCTTCCTGCACCCCTGCCCCAAGACTGTTGAGGTTCTTCCTTAATGGCACTATATCACATGCCACCTCCTCCATGAAGCCTCCCTTGACCATCCCTTCCCATTAAAATGCTCTTTTCTTCTTAAATACTTTTAGCACTCTTAGCATTAACCCTCTCCCTTGCGTACTATCTCTGTACATGCCTTTTTTCTCCTGGCAGGTAGATTCTACATCTTCTATATCTTTGTATCCACAGGGCTCAATAGAAAGCTGGGCACACAGAAAGTGTCTAATAAATGTTTGTCCAGGGAGCACTTAGATGGATCCATGCCTATCTCAAAGGTTCCACACTTCGCGGCACATTTATGTGCTGCAAGAAGACTTGCTCCTGGAGCAGCTAAGTGGAGCAGTGGATAGAACTCTGGCCTTGGAGTCAGGAGGACCTAATTTCAAATCTTGCCTCAGACACTTGACATTTACAAGCTGTGTGACCCTGGGCAAGTCATTTAATCCCATTGCCTACAGTGGGGGGAGAAAAAGATGACGACTTGCTCCTAAAGAATCTCTGAGCATAAATTTCATTCTGCTGTAACAAGGGGAAAGAGTAAACATGCACAGGTGTATAGTCACCCATCAACCTTCATGAAACACACATCATTTCCACTACTCTGTTTTTTTAAAATACACCCCAGGGACATTTTCCTGCATGTAGTGATACTGTATTTACACTGATTCTACAATTATCTGGCGTAGATGTGACTGCAGTCAAGACAGATTATGAGGGACAAGCCAAGAAGCTGTGAATATTAATGGAAAATACCTCATTGGTAATGAGGTTGAAAAATGTCAAGGGATTTTTTTTTCCAGCTAATTTAAGCCAATTCCTCAGAGCACTTAAAAGAAAATTACATTTGTTTTAACCATTTTTGACAGAAATTCATCTAAAATAAAATGTGCACATCCTTACAAACAGAACGATTTAAGTCTTTTCTCGGTTACTTGCGAGCATTATGATGTCATGCTGTAATTCAGGCCTGTGGTGTGACGGGCTATCTGCCCCCAAGTTAAATGACCTCAGAGCGCTGTGCTGAAGGAGAAAGCAGACAGAAAAATAATTCTCCCTCTGGTTGGCTATGACTTTTGTCAGTTACATTCTGCTGCCTTATTTTAAACAGAACTCTTTGGGTTGAATGTAGCTCCAACTTCAGAGAAGTCCTGGGATCACAAACACATTCTAGAGAGTTGAATTTACTAGAAATTAGAACTCTTCAGCAGTCAATAAATACTCTTTGGCAAATTCAGCTCAGATATTAGAATTATTCCACAGGGCCTGAACACTGTGTTACTAAATACCATAGACTTCCTTGAAAAAAGAAATTCAGTGAGCCAAGGAAAGAAAGAGACTAAATCCAATGAGACCTGATATCATTTAATTACCAACTTTGAGAAATGTCAATGAATGGCTTTATTTTATATAAAAATTACAATGAAAGGGGTTGAAAAAGCCAAGTAGACCTGATTTCACACACACACTTGCTAGTCTCACAGGATTCAAACTCTTAATAATTTTCAACCAACAGACTATATCATTTTAAAAACCTCATGATGAAGCCTAACATATGCTCCCAACAGATGTGCAAAAAAAAAAAAGATTCTTTTGGAACTTGCCTCCGTTGTCCATCATGCCACAAATCTAAGTTTTTGCTTCTCTGGCTGCTCTTGATCAATTTCCTACAACGTATACACATTTTTATGGTGATCTTTTCACCAATGAATTGCTTTGTTCATTTGGCTTTTGTGTGCTGGGCTGATCTCTTGATGAATTCCATCTAGACTAGTATAAGGTTAGAATACATGTGTTCTTTGAAGATCTTCACAGATAAACAGAAAGGCATAGCG